CAGATAAGCGGTACTTTTTGGATATTTTAGGAGATGCAATGGAGCGATGTGACGAATTGGGTTATGCATGGTGGTTCGTTTTTGGGTACGCAAAAACAGCTTCCAGAGTCAAAAATGCCCCAAATAGCGAATTCACTTGAAAAATTCAATATTCATGCACTCCTTATTATCGGCGGGTTTGAGGTGTTAAATCATGATTTTAAAAGATATTTCCTAATTTTTTTCGAAGCGATTACTTATCAAATTTTGTGATGCTAGCTTCCTCTTACAGGCGTACAATGCTTGTTTGATGTTGTATCGCGCGCGTGAACAATACAAAGCTTTGAGGATTCCAATGGTTGTTATTCCAGCTACAATCAGTAACAACCTTCCTGGGACAAGTATTTCTCTTGGTTCTGACACCGCTTTGAATGAGATCTGCAGGATGATTGATAAAATCAAACAGTCTGCAACTGGAACAAAACGTCGTGTATTCATCGTTGAAACTATGGGTGGATTTTGTGGTTATTTAGCGACGCTAGCTGCTTTGGCTTCTGGAGCTGACAATGCATATATTTTTGAGGAACCGTTCAACGTCAACGATATTTTAGAGGATGTCAAGGTATTTGTTGGGTAGCATTCTCGAAGTACACGCTTTAGCTTGGTGGGTTAATAAAGTTCGTGTACGTAATTATAACTCATCTTCGTAAATGAACTGTCGCGTCTCTTTACATGTACTGTATGTACTTTTCTACTTGTTCACCTATCTAATTTTTCAGTTTCTTGTATTTCATTTTCTTCTTTGCTGGCAAAGTAGCCAAAAAAGCTTCAAAAAGTAGTCACATTCTACATTTTCCTGTAGGTCATCACGGAGAAGATGAAGAAGGGAGTACAAAGGTACTTAATAATTCGTTGCGAGTTGGCTAACAGGAACTACACGACGGAGTTTGTCAAGCAAGTTTTCTCAGAAGAAGGGAAAGGTTCATTTTCTACCAGGTAATTACCACAGAATCCTCAGTTGTTCAAAATAATTTTAGCTCAATATTGGTTGCACTGAGGATTGGTAGAAGAGTTCCGATTTGTCAGCAAAATCAAACTTACTGTTTTTGTACCCCTGATGTCATTTAAATTGTTTCCATCTTCACTATTTACCTGCTGTCGTCTTTCAAGACCTCGTGTATCGTAATTACAGGACCAACGTGCTTGGACATGCGCAACAGGGCGGGAGTCCTACACCTTTTGATAGGAATTTGGGCACCAAACTTGCAGCGGTTGCTTTGGAGCAGCTTATAAAGCAAGCTAAGGAGACGTTTGATAAGGCGACTGAGACAGTAAATGCTATCGAACCTGAAACCGCTACCTTGTTAGGATTGCAGGTGGGGTTTGGTAACCATCTACCGCTTAAGAGATTTTAGTTTAAGCTCCGGAGATGATTTGTTTAAGGTTGTGGAATATTCTAAATCTCAATTTTTTAGGGAAGGGAAGTAGTTTTCACTGCCGTTGAAAAGCTTGCTACTGAGACAGATTTTGAACATCGTTTGCCGAAGGAACAGTGGTGGCTAAGAGTACGACCATTGTTAAGAATTCTAGCTCAGCACGAAGAACTTGCCATTCAGGCTGAGGCTGAGCTTGCTCTTCGGGCCGACACAAAGGGCATCATTGGCTAAAAGTTTACTGTTCTCTGATCCTTAACTGCAAAATTTATTTTTTTTCAACCCGTTATAGTTCTTTTAGTCTAGTTTTCGGCTTGTTTCTACCGTGTTTTAGTTACTGGAATCACTTCTCGCGCCCATAAACCCACTTCCTTTCACGGGGTAGTGAGCTTAGTCATGTAAATATTTATCCAAGCGATTTTAGCTGGAGCAGTTACAGCAGAAGCTGTCGGCTTGTGGTGGGGCATGGATGCTCTTATAAAACGTTGAGGTGCTTGAGCTTCGTTTAACTGGTGTTCCCCCAGTGATACTTGTTTGCGTTTCGCGGAGTCTTTACTTATTCAATTAGACTTTTTTTTTGCTGAACTACCACCTTAACAGCACTAATACGAAGCATTCCTTTCCCACTGTTTGTTAAGCATTTGCATCTTGCATTAGTAGTGCCAGATTTTTTCTGAGTACCAGTCTACGATATGCTTCAATTGCTTTGCTTTGATCAAGCAAAATGTACGATCCTTTCTGACAATGTAACTCAACCTGTTGTCTAATGCTACTTTTTATCACAGAGGTCTTAGAATTGTATGGTAAACTGTCCCAGTGTAACTTTGCTGCCACTCAGAGATATCCTCTTTGTACTTTTACCGCCGACGCAGTCAAAAACAGGCTTGAGTAAACTGCATTTAAAGTAAACTGTAATTACCAGCAAAGTACCCTACTTTAAGGAAGTATATGGCGTTTTAAGGAGGGGGCTAAAGGAAATGGCCCTTTAAACATTGTACCCTGTCAGCGTCCCGGTCACGAATATCACTAGAAGTGACTCAACCATTCTGCTTTTAGCTATAGTTAATCGCTGGTGCCATGTGTTGAAAGCACTGTTTGCTTTGTTGCTCTTCCAAAAAAATGCACCATATTTTCTGTATACACTACTGGAGTCTGCACTGCTCGTAGTAGAAACCATTATACTTCCAGATCCTAACACTCTTCGATTTTTTTTGAATTTCCGAGCTGTTAGGGTCCATCTGCAGATATCTTGATGAAGGTTTATATACGAATCGTTCAAGGTCATATAAGCACTATAGAGCGCATCTGTACACAAGTAAAAACTGCAGTTCCTATTTTGATGCAGTACTAAAACGGCCTGTAAGACTTCGTATAAACGTTGCCACAAATGCATCACAGAGACAAGCTTTGGTACGGACGCACACAAGACCAGCGCTCCGTCGTTTCAGAACAGTTCCTAACCGGCAACTCTGTCTCGCGAGTGGGATGTCGCAATGTTTCCTTCAAAACCACGAATACTCATCCCTATTTCATCTTTGAAAACTTTCACGTCCTCCCCATTTTTTCATCCATACGATTCTACGATACAACAGATCCTTACCATATCTGCTGTGACCAATCATGCTTCAACTGCGCGTGAAACGAGTTGCAGACAGGACGAGATTTTTCGACCGTACGGTGCACATGCGTCTTAAAAGAAACCCTCAATATGAGATTACACAAAAGCCTCCAAATCCTTATAAGATCTCCCAAGTATAAAAACTCTCCACTTCTAGTTCCTCATTATATAACACAAAATCTAACTTAAGAGACGGTGAAATGTACCAGTCCTCCGAAAGGTATTAATGTTGCAGTTATCACAGGACGCAATTATTACATAACAATGGATTAATTTAAAAGATGGTTACGGAGGGAGGCGTCTCGTAGCCGCATACCTCTTTCAGTTGCGAAAATAAATCAACCAATTCCAATAATTATATTATCAAAGCATCGTGACAATTGGTTAGGGATGGCGATACCAAAAGGATTTCGGTTGGATAAGATATTACTTCAAGCACAGCTTTTGGCGAAATTATTTCAACCTCTCAACGTAAGCGGCAGGAAAAAGACCTTTTTTCCCGTCCTTTCGGCCTATACACCAATTCAAGGAATCTGGTTCACGTAAGACCTCAATAACTTCACCTAAAATAGTTTTTGTCATAATATGCTTATGCCGTTGCCTAAAATGTCTCTTTTACAACACCTGTAGAACTTCAGTCGACATCCCTTCGTTCTATAAACACTAAAAACAAATATTAATACCTTTATAAATAGACATTTCGTCATGATCTTGTGATTTGTAGTCGTACACTACTGTAGCATTATACAAAGGTGCAGACGAGACCTCACTCAAGTTGTCTTCGCATACGATTTGCGGTAGAAACTGATCTTCTGTACTGGAACTCGTGAAACCATTGAACAAACAACCAGTATCAGAGACTGACGGGATGGCATCTTGGTCTTCAACGCTTACCGATGTGACGCTCTGAAAATGAATGACGAAAATGGTATTCAGCCTAATTTAGAGAAAGTGCCGTATTAACATCACATTCGCTGTTTACCGTCGCAGTGGCATTTTGGTCTTCCAAACTTTTTTCTTTGCTGTACGAATCTCCAGTAACCATCAAAAAAGAATTGTTGTCATGCTCGTTCTTATCAGTTTTACTAACAAGAATCACCTCTCCTTCAACCGTATCTCCCTTCCTTGACGCAATGGTGTGAAAGGTTGGGGTAAAAGGCTGAAACGGTGTTTTTTAGTAGTTGCTGTGAAACTATTAAAGCACAAAACTGTAATCCCGATCCCGGGTAATCCCATATCAAAAAATTAAAGCGGGGGGGAGGGGGGAGAAGGGACACTAAGTGTAAAAAAAAAATCACCTCAAATGTCGGCCACTTGTATGCACACTGCGGCCCGAACCGTTGTGACCACTGATCTAAATCTGCCGAAAATAGGTCGGCATCTTTCTCGAAGCACTCTTCTATGCTTTCGTGAACCACTTTAAGTCTGAAAATTTGAGAACTAACAATGGGATGTCGCCACTTCATTTATTTAAAATTAAAGACAAAGATAAATATTCTGGAAGTAAAGTGAACTTCTATACGGAATATCCTGAAACTAAGCTCTGGCAAATAATATCCGTTCGTCGGTGGAAACTAAACAAGACTACAGGGATAGCACTATTGAACCTTTGAAATTATTTCAAATTTTCTGAACCCCAAACCTAACATAAAATCTACAGAGATTTTTGGGATGTGAAACAACTTACCAAATTCAAAAATAATAAATACCTGGTGATGGTGGTAAGGTCAGACAACACTTTTTGTAATCCGGAAAACATTTCAAACACAAACTTCAATCTTTTCAGTTCTTTTTGCTGACAAGCCTTAAAAACCTGAAACATGGAACAAGATGGGTTCTACAAACTACCAAACGACAGACAGGTTTGAAACTACACAACCTTATTCAGGGCGTCTATCGAGAACTTGAGAAACATCACTGTTATATATCTACATTATCCTGAAGGACACTTTAAAGAGATGAAGTGAAACCTACATCACACATTTGTGCAATATAATCATTTTTTATAGCGTCAAGGTCAGCAACGCTTCGTCTATATAATGTTTCGAAAGATGACACATCTTCTTTGGTTTTCTGCCACCTAGCTTCGTACTTCCGGGCATTATCAGTAGAAATAGAAGGATCTCCATCAGCATTTTTTTTCTGAATATAAATAACTTTAAACGATGGCCAAATCAGCTTTCACTCAGTATAATAAAAAAGGAAAAGACACTAACAGTCGCTAATTTATTTACAGTAGAAGACATGAACCAAGTGCTTTAGAAGAACGAACATTACAAACCTGTACTGACGCAGACCGTTCTTTCTGCGAAGCGTTATGAAACAATTTACGTGCTTTTTCCACTTTCTCAAGTTGTTTCTTCCATGGTCTCTGCACTTTTTCAAACTGTTCCTCGATATCACGCACCTCCTTGGCAGAGCGAAAAGGAGAAGAATGGTAGTTGTCTTTCAAATAGATAGTTATAGTTTTTACAATCTAAAGCAGTTCTAAATGAAGGCAGCTTTAAAAAAATGTGACAAAACGGAAGACTACAAAAGTTTTAAAAATTTTCAAGCACATCGCAACTTTGAATCCGTAACTCCAATAGATGTTAAAATCCCAATACATATGGTTACTGGCTTTAAACGAATAAACAAAGTGAACTCCAGTACTCCAACGGCGAAATCCTGCCATGAACCAAATAAGAAATACAACGAAAAAATAAAAACATTGATTTCGACAACAACAATCAATGCTCATTAACATCAGAACGCTGAGCAGTTGACGAATATAAATTATGAGGGAAATTGGAGAAAATACTGGCAAAAGGGGAAGAAATACTGCTTACCTCATCTGAGATACGGTCTTTCAAATTACCATGAAGTCGACCCAGTTCTGCACTCTCCCCTAAAACCTCCTTCCAAATAGTTTTTACAGAATTACTCGAAGCTTTTTCTGCATGAGATAACCACCTTTCGTGGAACGCTCTTAATGACTTGCAATAAAATGTTTCCAATCCAATCCGCTCCTTAAAAAGAAATGAGTTCAAACAACCTGCTTATACTTCACCATCAACTCCATAAAGGGAGAAATTTATTTCCAAAAACAGACAGATTAAAAAGACAGAGACATTCTACATACTAAAGCGAGAGAAAAGCCGAAAACTTTATAAAATCACTACTGGTGACTTTGAACGCAACAATCAACAATGCAAAACAACAAAGTAATACTCACAAATATGTTTTATACAAAAATTAATTTGCACGAAATATAAACTGACGGTAATGTACCTTTAACATCTCCTGAATGTCTGCGAGCTCATCAATGCCCTCTTTATATCGACGTGCATTATGGCGGTAAGCACCAATCTCGTAAAACCCTCCTTCTATATTGTTTTCCATAACAGCTTTTCTAAACCAAAGTCAAAATAATTGCTTGTAAACTTTGAATTAAAAAAAAAATGTGCAACATCAGAAACGTCAACGGTTTCTTCTACACACGAGTTCAAACTACGTTTCCAATTCAGCAAACCACAGAAAGCAATAAAATTCAGTAAATAAGAATAGCCGCATTAATAAGTCAACTGAAGCAAATTTATTCCTCCATTTTGACACGTTCTGCAAAGTACGCTGCTACTGCCGATAGAATGGTGAAGAAATGAAGCAAAAATTTGAGGCCCAAATAAAATAAGTGATTTAGAAGACGTAAGTGAAAAACGTATGTACACCATGTTTAAGAAGTTTTAGAGAGTTAATTTTGGTTTTTGATGAAATTTGCCCGGAAGGCCTGCTACCGTGACCCAACGCTCCCTCTAACGTTCAACACCTTTCTGGCGGTTATTTTTCGGGATGAATAAATGTGCTTCGACACTAGTGTACCTTCTTACAATACAAATTTTGTGTTCAGCATACAAGCCAAAACACTTCATAATTACAATGCATTTTCAGGGATTACCGTAGCAAATTTCTTTACTCTATCAATTGAAATACTGAACCGGTCGGAAGTCACGCGCTGAACATCGCAACTTGGTCCCTACTTCGGCAGTTGTGCTAACGCCAGGGATCCCATTGCACACGTTGGAAGCGGTAGTGTAGTGGCAACTACCTGGTGGGCGTTTTACGGCACACGTTCAGCTGGCTTTTCAAAGAGAGGAATGGTCGACAGCGGGGTAGGTGACGTGTTTTTAGAGCTTAAGTCCTGGGAGATCTATGAAAAAAGTGCCAGAGTGTGGAAGACGAGGATTTTTTGGACATGGCGGCTGCAGTCCTCAGTTAGGTTTTGTAAGCGAAGAAAAAACCCATCCTTCTATACTGACAGTGTCGAGAGACTTAAAAATCTAAACACAGGGAAGGCACAAACAAAAGGCAATTAAGAAGGTGTGGATAAGAAAACTTGGTTCAACTTTGGTGAGTAGTTAATCTTCTGATTGGAAACTAAATATAACACCTTGAACAAGACGCCCAGGGCAAAAACCTCAAAACCAACCCTTAACTATGTGCTCGAAAAGTGATTGGGAAAGCAATGTGGGTAATACCAACGAAAGCAGTCAAATTCATTTAATCCTACAAACAGACAGGCAGGAACATTAACGACAGCGAAGTTAGCTAGACAGATACACTGGAACTGCCGCAAAAGTAACTCTTTTTAGTTTAAAAGCAACTGAAATATCAGTAGCACTCCTGTTTCTTTTTTCTTCCAAAAAAAATTACTGTTATTAAGCAAGTGATTAAACGTCTACGCGTAATAAGTATTCAAAGCTGGAATAAAGACGAGAAAAGAAATAAGATTTTTTTTTTTGTTAACAGAATACCATTGACGTTAAGTGAGACTTCTATGAAATTCAACTGGTCTCAAAGAATTTTGAAACATCATGACAGAAACATCATGCTTTGGGCAGAACATCACTGGGACGAATGACCCCACAAAACGATGCCGCTTGAAAACCCCTACACTATTTCACAAAGCACTTTTCTACTACCCAAACACCATAGTTGAAAACGATTTTTGAGATCCCATCGTCTTTCTCGTCAGTAATCCGACCAACCACCTCGATAACCACCCGTTTACGGAAATTAGGGGGGAAAGGAAGCCTGAATTTAAAGTCACCATTTTTGCACATTTCCCGCCACAACTATTCTCTTACTAAGAAAGGTGCTGGTGACTGTCGCAAGTAGTTCCACTAGTTTTCTTCAGCGTGTGCAATTTCCTCAAGCACGACTTCAGGCGTTTCCCTAGTCGAGGAAACGGGTAGGGTGGTAGGCCACTGAGTGCTTTGATGGGTGGATTTTACCGTTCTTTAGTGCTGAGGTAGCTGTTGGCGGAAAGAGTGCCCATTTGATGATTAGTGCAATCTGTGATCGCGTCGATATCATATGAAGTAGTAGAAGGGTAATGGGAAGCAGTTTAAGGAAAGAATATGATATTTGGGGACTAAAGAATAAGATTAAGTCGATGGAAAGAAAGGGACGGAATGTTTTATATGTGGAGAATCAGTGGTCAGGTAAGTGATAAAAAATAGCGGACAAATAGCAGGTAGGAATAGAGCATGGAAGTGTAAGTATAAGCGGTAAGGAAGCTTCCTTATCAGTAACTAATCGTTATATACGTCGCATAAAACCGCCTTTTTACCTATGAATTGTTCGGTATTTAGGTGAGCATGGAATTAAAAGTAAGAATAACATAGGTTTTCTAAAATTGACCTTCTGAAGCGTTTTTATAATTTTCGCCTTGGTTCATTGGCAGTAGTTATCTCGCTAACCCTTATTCGTATGATGCGCAATCAGTGTATTTATTAAGCCACAAAAACCGGACAAAAAAAGAGTTGGTGAAGTCTTGATTGTCAATATTTTAAGGTATCTATAAAACCAGTAAGAAAAATCACGCCTATTAGAAATTTATTGAGGGTAAAAATATAGCTAAAGGCCGTTCGACTTAACGGAAACAACAGAAAACTACAAAGCTATGAGAAATTCGAAAAGAGGGAATTAACAAAGGAAGTTAGAGAGAAAAAGTTAAAATTACCGTTTCTTCTTTTTCTAAGTCGATGTAAAATAATTATTGAGTTTGTGGCCAGTACTTGTGAAGAAAGATAATTAAATCGTAATTTGCTGCTTGCCAGGAATCCAGTTACAATAAATGGGCATGACCAAGTGCAGATTTATTGCAGCTCTGACTCACTTCTACAACGATAATTTCTGACCTGATTATCGTTAAGCAAAATCATTGACTTCGTCCGATTGTTAGCTACCAGCGACTCTCAAAAAATCAACATTGCAAAGCCAGAATTCCCAAAATTGCGACTCTGTTACCGCCCAACCTGGTGCCTGAGCTAAAGTGACGCCTGGCACCTTCACTAACCGACAGTCGTTTTTGCACATTCTTCATCTACTCACCGCATTTTTCATCCATTATACTTTACCAGTAGTACGAGAAAAGAACAAGCAGAACGGAAAAGAACCTAAACTTTTGAAATCGTAGAACGGAAGTGAGGAAAATACTTGTCACTGATTTAAAATAGTTGACATTTCCGTTGGTTCAAGTAGTTCCATTGTAAATGGAGAGTGGGCAACGACCCGAATTAAATCACCATTACCTCTTAAGTCGTTTCCTTTCCCACTTCACAACTATCTTCAAAACTCAATCAAAACCTCGTGAATTTTTGGTCTAAACGCAAGCAAAAAAAAATCTGGTTAAGTTGTACGCCCTGGAACTTATTGGTCCCTTCATGCTGATCTTAAGAAAGCTTATATATCTAAAAATACGAGTAAAGCTTTAAAGAAAAACACCAACGGAGTGAACCTTTCATTTAAAATCCTGTTCCACATTTGCGACAAAAGCGAAAAACCCTAACCATCCTTATCCTTCTTTTCCTCTCACTCTCTTTTTTCTTTCCTACTCTTTTTTCTTAAACCAGAAACCTATTTTCCTTCTGTGCATTAAACAGCACAGTTTTTAGCAAATTCTTATTATGTAGCAGAAAAAGCATTAAAAAATTTTTATGCAATTCCGTATCAAATAAAATGTTGAGGAACACTTATGAGCGAACCAGCAAAGAAAGAAAGCAACAAAAGGTGCTCAAATTTTTGGAAAATAGTAACAAAAACACACGTTTAACGAAAAAAGATTGAATAATTGTAGTCATACATTGTATTGTGAGGAATTTTAACGAACTTCAAATATACTAGAACTACATATGAAGAAGTGGCTGCACTTTGAGGTAAATTAGAAAATACAGAAAAATTTGTTAACAGATCTGAAAACAAGGAGCTGAAACCACTTTGCGCTATTCCCTTTCTGCTGAACGTCATAAAACATCCCTAGTGTTGCTGCTGCCAAGCAAGATACTGGAGTAGTGTCGTTTGTCGACGTACCACTCTGTCCGAAAGAATCTATGCAAGCGAGTGAAAAACAAGGCAAAGTGGCTAGAAACCGCAGTAGAGACACGGGCAAAAGCGAAAGGGTCGCTACAAGAATGAACGA